TCTCAGAAGAATATTTTTTTTAAAAAAAGATATGAAGTTGGGAGGAGGGAATATGAGGAGACATCCAGGGGAGTTGGAGGGGAAGAGAGGACTAGATATGACCAAAACACATTACACACGTGTATGAAATTCTCAGAGTAATTAAAAATATATTTTAAATGACTCTTTTCTAATTTAAGTAATAGTCAAAGAGTTTTTTTTTTCATTTTATTTTCTAGACTAAATACAGGATTAGAGTAAATCAGAAAACACACGCCAACGTCTAAAAGTCCGATTTGTACTTTATTTTACAGAATAATCTTTTTATAGATACTTTTCACATAGATTTAAAAATCATAGGAGTTTGGTCAAATAAACAATAAATTTATCTTATAAGGATTACAAATGAAAGTAAATAAGCTAAAGAAACAATCAACACTACTTCCAAATGTTTTGTAGATAGAAAAACCATACAGAGAAAATTAAAGGCATACTGGTTCAAACTTTTCTTCTATTTTATTTTATATTTTATTATTTTATTTTATTGAGGTGAGGTCTCCCTGGTAGGTAAGCGCACCTGTGTCGTGCAATGCTTGAGGAGGACAGAAGAGGCTGTCGGATCCCCTGGAACTGGAGTTAGGACAGTTGTTAACTGCCATGTGGGTGCTGGGATTCAAACCTGGGTCTTCTATTTTATTTATTATTTATTTATTTATTTATTTATTTATTTATTTATTTATTTATTTATTTATTTGTGTGTGTGTGTGTATGTGTGTGTGTGAGCACACACGCATGCGGGCACATATATGACGGTGACTACAGAGGCCAGAAGTGAGTGTTGGTTCCCCAGAGATGGCGTTAAAAGCAGTTATGAGTAGTCTGATATGGGTGCTGGGAATGCTGGGAAGTGAACTCAAGTTCTCTGAGTGGCAAGCATCCGTATCTGCTGAGTTGTCTCTCCAGTTACACCAAGCTTTGCTCTTTACCCACTAGACATAAGCACAGAGAATAGCTTGTTTCCATGGAGCCTTGTGAGACCAATCTCTTTTCTGGGCAGCTAGACTGGAAGGACGTGTGTTAGCGGGATACGGTGCTAGAAAACCACCTCCTGGAACTATTGGAAGAAGGCAAGACACAGGAAGGTGGGTGGAAATGAAGGGTTAACTTGTCCAACGCTGGAGATGTGCAGCTGCCTGCTGAAAGTCCAGCTTTTGGGGAATACAATGCTTTCGTCTGGCCTCTGAGGGCACTGCACACAATGCACCTAATGCACGTACACACACACAGATACATAAATATAAAATAAATCTTTTTGTAGAAGCAAAGTTTGAATCAGTTCCTAAGTTACCATGACGAAGGGAGGAAGTGCTGGTTTCCTCCACAGTGAGGGGACATCTTGTGCCAGTTTGCATCTCTTTCAGCCCCACTCCCCACCGATAAAGCCGGACAGGAAAGGGTATGTGCTGTTAATGTTGTGTATCGTGACATCAGCCCATACCAGAGGAGGAACTGGCACTTCCCTGGTCACGTGTCTCTCCCAGGATCTGATGTGCTTCTGATAGACCTCCAAGCTCCAGAATCATTGAACACATCCTCTATTGCTCCTGGCTGTTTGACAGCTTTCTCGAGGGCTCATGGGATGCAGCATGAATACTGCCTGCTGGTGCATCTTGCTTGTATGATAAGGTTATTATAAATAAGATCACGATTCTAAAAGAAGATACTGCCAGTGATTTGCTATGAAAATTTGCCAGCTCATGATAATTCCAAACCTACGACCCCTCCATAAGCCTGCAGATATTTGACCGGGAGAATGAGCCAGCCTGCTTCCCCTTGACCCAACAAGAACCAAACCACACTGTGCACTTCAGCTATCCTCAGTGGCAGTGGAGACTTGGGATTCAGGGCTACTGGGATTCACTTAGCCAAACGGCTCTGGGTGAGGACTAGACACATTTGTGCCCATGGGCTGCACATTACCCCTTGCTGCAACCATGTGCCCAATCTCTCTGACAATGGCTTTTGCTCTTGTTCCTCATTTGTTACACAATTCCCCCTGGGAGCTGGAGCCCTGCCCAGGACAGGCTGGGCTGCTAGGTTGGGTCCTAACAACCTTCTCATTGCCATCTGCTGGCTAACATCCTCTTTTAACCTGAAGAAGGGCATCCATGGAATCAGAGGGCTGCCACCTGCCCCTGAGCACAGCTGCCGCCTAGCTGTTGGTGTGGGGCCACCATTCGCTTGTCTGGACCAATCAGGTCAGATGTGCGGAAGGGACACCACCGTGTTCTCCGCGGGAGCCCCACAGCCAGGTGAGCCCTGTCCACTTAAACTGCATACATTTGACACTCTTCTTGTGGAAATTCTACCCTAGATTGCAAATGCTTCACAGATCATTTTTACCATCACCAGGAACTCAAAGTCAATCTCTAGAACTTTCATCAACATGGACTTAGTTGTTTATACATACTATAATTAAAGTTCTAGAACTTAGGCACTGTTTTTAAGGGCACAGAAAACATATTTTTAGATCTGACAAAAGGCAGTTCTAAAGCAAATTAACAGACTGATTTTAGAATAACTTCAGATACAAAGTCTTTAAAATATTTCAAAACCAAAACATTCTCTTTACTACAGATGTGGGAGCATTTTGTCAGTGATGTGGGGTGGGACACAGCTAAGTGTGAGCAATACAAAGGCCTGAAAATGTTACATGATAGCAGCCCCACCCGAGTCACACTTCCCAAACTCATCCTTGGCCAACCACTGTGTATCTGTCACCCAAATGAGATGACCGGCCATGGCGCCATGGTTGCTACCTGTGGGGCTGAGACATTCCAGTATTTGTGTGATGAAAGAACAATTGAATGAAACAATGGGGTAAGTAATGCTCTAATCAAACTGCAGACAGAGATTTTAAAACTCAGGAGGAGGGAAAATGGGGTTGCTTATAGGCACAGGGTTTTAATTTAGCAGGACTGAGTGCTGGAGATGGTTACTCAACAATGAACATGTCCTTGACATGCTAAACTATACTAGAAACAGTTAGGTCTTATTTATTATTTTACTTTGGGAGCTAGGTTCTAAATCAGTGTTTGTGGAAACACCAATGCACTGAATACTGAATGAATTTTGCTCAAATTTGTAAGCTCATGACTGTATGGTACTCTGTGGCTTGGAAGTTGCTTATTAATTCCCTATTTTGAAGTATGATAAGTTGTATTGCAAGGGAACATGCAATATGCTCTCATAACTGTCAAGTATGTCTTCTTAGTTATATTACTGCAGCAGCTTTATAACCACCTCCTTCCTCTTTTTCCTCCTCCCACAGCTGGCACCCCAGGTAGAATCGCACAACATATGTTTCCTTGTATGTAATATGTATAGAAGCTCAAGCCCAAACCCCAAGTGTCAGCATCCCTGTTTCTCTGTTTGACTGTGATTTCCTAGCACTTCAAAAATATACTTTTCGTTTAAAGCAGGCTGTGCTTCTTGTCCCTCCTCTATGTTTCCATGTTGTACTGGATAGCTTTAGTGTCAACTTGACACACCTGGGTTGAGGGAGCCTCAATTGGGGAATTGCCTCTATTGGACTGGCCTGTGGCCATGTCTGAGGGCATCTTCTTAATGAGTGATGTGGGAGGACCCAGCCCACTGTGGGTGGTGCCACCCCTGGGCAGGTGGGCCTGTGTTGCATAAGAAAGCAGGCTGAGTAGGGGCCAGAGGAGCAAGCCAGTAAGCAGCGTTCCTCCATGGCCTGTGCTCCAGTTCCTGCTTCCAGGTTCTTGCCCTGAGTTCCTACCTTGGACTCCCTGATGAACTGAGACCTGGGAGATGTAAGACAAACCCTTTCCTCCACAGGTTGGTAGTGGTCAGAGTGTTTTGTCACAGCAATGGAGAAACAAACTAAGATACATGTGTATTGTTTCCTTTTACATAGTATAATCCTATTGTTTTCACTATTTTTACCTGTCTAAATTCCATTCATCTTCCAAATTCCTGTCAGTGCCTCCCAATTCCATCATGTGTTCCTTGAACCCAGTCTGCCTGATCCCTCACTGCAGGCTGACTTTTTTGGTCATCACCTGTGCTGGTCACACTAGATGGAACCTGATTATCTTATAGTGTCTTCCACACTCTAGCATACAACGAACCTTAACTGTAACTTCCTGAAGCATGAAAGGTATTTTTTTTAAATTTAGTTTTGTTTCAAAGAAAGACCTATACAGTCCTGGCTACAAAATAATACACATTTTCAATTTGATTGCCTTTCCAAAGAATTGGAGAGAGCAAATAACATGTTTGTTCATAAAATATTATCATCGTATTCTACTTTTTTGCATATTATCTACACACTATCATCCAATAAATATGTTTCTTAAATTCTAATAGGCAATACTTGACCAACCATCATATAAAAATCTTCCTGTTTAGCTGCTTGGTTTAGATTTCAGTTTCTTTTACAGCATCGAGTACAAAGTTTTATTTAAGGGAGCTTTTCTTTCGACAATCATTGTAAAATCACATGATGGAATCTAATTTACTTGTTCTTGCATTTTTATAGGAGGGAGTGAGACACTAGGAAAATCACAAAGTATACCTTCCATTTTCCCTAACATTCTTGTATGTGAAAAGTCTAATTATTATCAAATGAAAAAAACAGTCTGCCATGAAAGCAAAGCAAGACAAAAAGTCAAAACAACAAAACATCAAAAAAAAAAAAATTGGTGCAGCATGTGACCTGGGAATGGTATGTGGAGGATGAGAAGATGTGGGAAGGACACAGGAAGGTGCTGCTGGGAACTCCAGACTGAGTGCTTCTGTGCTGGCCAGCAAAGAATTCTGTAAGGAATGTTCTTTGAGAAGTACTGAGCTGCGACTACTAATCACAAGCTCTTGTGATCGCAGTAACTTGGTTTCTTACATTTGAGTCATTTTCTTAACCACTACTTTGGCTCTGGCTGCCTGGTCTCAGGACAATACCCCCCAACGCCCCAACACAGTCACACCTGGAGACTCACCATCCTCCTCATAGAGAAGGCCCATGTGGGCCTGTGCCTCTGCTTCTTTCTTTCCACCATCAGTTTTGATCAGCTGAGCAATCTTAAAGCATCGCTCATAGAAGTGGTTCCTCACCCACTTGTCTTCAGAATTATTGAAGTAACAGGCCAGAGCGTACAAGTTATTATACACATCTTCAAAGTATCCTTCAAGAGAAAAGCACCACACAGTGCATTAGACAGATGGTTCGGGACACATCTTTTGGGACAGTACACTGATACTGCAACATTTGTTCCCTAGTTTTTTCTTAAAGCTGTGGTTGTTTTGAAACTCAAATCTACACTCAAAGCATAATTAATTTTAACTATTAAAACAATTATATTAATTAAAGGATGTGTACCTGTGCAAAGCAATGTACTATTTGGATGAAATGGGACTTCCTTTTGAATATTTTATTTTATGTGTATGAGTGTATTGTCTGCACGTGTGTAAGTGCACCCATGTTGTGCAATGCCTGCGGAGGTCAGAAGAGGGTGTTGGATCCCCTGGGACTGGAGTTATGGAAAGTCGTTAGCCACCATGTTGGTGCTGGGAATTGAACCAGGTTCCTCTGCAAGAGTAGTCAGTGCTCTTAACCACTGAGCCATCTCACCAGTCAAAATGGGACTTTTTTTATATAACAGATAGAACAGGATGGTGCTCAGTTCTTTTGAGAAAAAAGGATCTTGGTGTTCTTGACTACTTTTCCCATTGGAAGTCTGAAAATTATTTATAGATATTATAGATAAATCAATGTTTCTTAAGTATGAGAAAAATAATGCAAATGAAAAAAGAGAACGGAAATAGGAACATCAGGTCAATTTAAGGGGGATATAAGATAGCTGACGCATACAAGCAACGGAGGTCAGGACGATCTGCAAGTGTCATATTTTCCTGCCAGTGTTTCTGGCAATACAAGTTTGTAACAATGCTAAGAGAGCAGACGTCCATGTTTCTGTTTTCTGTGTATTTTTCCTTGACAACACATACATACTCAAACTGTTGGTAGTTTGTTACATACACCCTCTGCTTCTCTTTTTTCACAAAGTAATGTCCATATGGTATGCAGTGGCATGTATATAAGTGAGAGGGTTGTATATGCACACACAGAATGTATGCTTCTAAACTGAATCAGTCAGTCAGTTTCATGAACTCCCTCTGCAATAGCGAACATGAAGAAGACGTTTGCAGGTTCCTAAACTGTGCTTTGACCCTTTAAAGCCTTCTTCAGTGACCTCACTATGTCTTTGCATTTATCCCTAATCATGTCTGTAAACATGTAGGGTCCTCTGTGTTAATCATGTCTGTAAACATGTAGGGTCCTCTGTGTTAATCATGTCTGTAAACATGTAGGGTCCTCTGTGTTAATCATGTCTGTAAACATGTAGGGTTCTCTGTGTTAATCATGTCTGTAAACATGTAGGGTCCTCTGTGTTAATCATGTCTGTAAACATGTAGGGTCCTCTGTGTTTCTGTTCCACCTTCTCTTTCTTTTTGAGGCAAAGCCTCATTCTTACTTTAGCCAGGCTAGTCTTGAATTTGTGGCAGTCCTCCTGCTTCTGCCTACCAAGAAGTGGATTACAGGAGTAAGCCACCGAGTCTTACACTAAATTAAAAACAGAAAACAATGATCATGCACTAGGACTTGCTGACACTAGGTGCTCACTCCTACCAGAAGAGTAAATTCCTAAATGGTCTGTTGCCCTTTAGATACCTCTGAGATTAAATCAAAAGGCTCAGAAGAACCAAACTGTAGCTGTCAAGACCTATAAATATGCCACTCCAATGTTTTAAAAGACATTTGTGAGTGTGTGTGCATGCGTGTGTGTGTGTGTGCGTGCATGTGTGTATGTGTGTGTGTGTATGCGTGCGTGTGTGTGTATATGCGTGCGTGTGTGTGTGTGTGTGCGTGTGTGGTGTGACGGGTGGAGGTATGGGGGTGGAAGGGATATGTGTGATTATGCTCAGGTGTGTGCATGAGTGTACATCCATACACATGCTTTCAGAGGCCAGAGATGTTTTCCTCAATCCCTCTCTGCCTCATTCCCTTTACGCAGACTCTCTCACTGAACCTCATCACCATTTTGGGGCTGAGATGGAATGGCTAGGCTGGGGAGCCGACACGCCCTGATGATACTCCCTTCTCTGTCCCCCTTGTACTGGGGTTACAGACACATACTGCCACATCCAGCTTTTCTATGGATGCTAGGGATTCAAACTTAGGCTTTTCTGTTTAGGGGGCTGGAGAGATGGCTCAGCAATTAAGAGCACTTACTCCTCTTGCTGATGACCAGGGTTTTATTCCCGGTACTCATATGGTGGCTCACCAACCATCTATGACTCCAGTGCCAAGGTATCCAACACCTTCTTCGGGCCTCTGTGAGCCCCAAACACCCACATGGGGGCAGCATATATACAGAGACAAAACATTTATGCACACAAAATAACAAAAACTCAAAAAATACATTGCTAAAACCTATGCTTCTTTACATAAACTTTCTATGTATATATTTCTTGCCCAGTGGGAACAGACCATTAAGGTCTATTTTATAAAATATTATACATTTACTGATTAGAGTTACTGTTTTCAGATGCCAGGTGGTAAAATATTTCAATCCTCTATTATAACAGGAGATATGTGTAAATATTTTTCTAATCTTAATAATTAAACTTTAATATAAAATATTCCTAGCATTCCATAGGCAAAATGAGTTGTGTTGATGTAAGCTAACAGGATTCTGTATGCAAAGATTTCTTAGAAGTTGAGAGTTTTTCTCTACAGCTATAGTCTGTGCTCTACATTGTAAGCAGTGTGTCCCTCTCTACTAAATTATCAGCAAGCAAAATTAGAAGATGACCATTTATTGTTGATTTGTTATTTAGATGTTGTGATCCCCAAGGAAGAGATTGCCTGGTGAAATAAATTTGAGAAACATTCTTAATGTTCTTCCTTTAGTGAGATAATACAGAAAAACATGATCAGTGCTCTGATAAGTACTGCAATAAGTCAATACGTTTAAATTCAGTGTTAATTAACCTGGAGTTTCCTAAACTTACTTTACTGGACAACATTTTTTTTTCATTTTTACTTTGCATCAAATTTACAAATATCACATGGAACGTTAGGTAGGACATATTTTGTATATACTAAGTAAGTGGTGCTGGAGTGAAAATAGCTGCTCAGTCCTTGTCAAAAGTTTAAACGTCAAGTGGAAATAATGCTTGCATTATCTATTTCTTCTGTTTCCCGACATTCACTATTGTCATCTCTGCCTCAGCCTCAGGGGGCTCAAGACCCTGATCATAATATTACAGATGGCACAGAAGCTATTCATAACAATAGAGAATGTGATATTTGTGTCATAGACAAAGAAATACTTTACCCAATGGAAAATAACCACAAAAGGAAACAGCTAGATTACTTTAAAGCAACTTTGTTACAAAATAGCAAGAGATGTTTGGTCAAAGCAATTTAAAAAACTTTAGGTTACTTGTCTACAAATCTGGAGGGGCAGAACTGACCCTACTCGACTACTGTTAGTGCCCCAGCTTTGATTAAATGAACTTGATTGTGACCCTAGACTGATGGTCTTTCCAATGAGAAACGATGACAGAGACGGGCTATTTCAGGATAATTGTCTCACACGCTGTGACTTATGGGATAGAAACTCGAGGTGCCACTGATAGATTTCTATACTTTAGATGCACAAGTACACATCTTGAAACACATACGTTTTAATATTTAGAATTAATTCAAGTTAATAAAAGCAAATGTGCGTATTTTATTTTCTGAGGCATTCTTTATTCAAATCACATTTTTCTCCTTGATAAAGTTCATGTCTGGACTGTGAAAAAGTTTACGCGAATTATTTTTAAAAAGATTGTATAAATGCTTATATGCATGCCATTCAACTAATATTTTATCTTAATTATAATTTTCTATAACTCATCCAGGCAAAAGTCATGGCGGTAACCCTACAGATGAAAAAGAGGTAATTTTGTCCTATTTAACAAATGCAGCTTTATCTACCAGAAATATAGGGCAGACCACTCAGTGAAGAAATTTCCCTCATTTCTGTGGTCACTTGTGTGGGACTTTACCTGTTACCAAGCTGGGACTTTGTAAGTTTTTATTTTAACTGGAGAAGTATTTTTGTTTATGTACTTTTCTTTAATGAAAGATTAGGAATTAAAATATGCTCTGCCTTAAAAAGGACAACTTAGTGTTTTAGGTTCTTCATAATCACAAAATATTATAGGACAAGTTGACTCATTCATGATACTTCATGGCAAGTCAGGTATTTGGCTCATGTTTATTCTATTCAAAGAAAACCTCCTAGCTTAAACAGTGTCCATGATGAAATTCAACTTTATAAAATGACTAATGGGCAAATTTTACATTGGTTAATTCTGTTTCCAGTGGAAATATCACTTTAGAATTTTGGTTTTATACTAGAACATGGGGCTTTGGGGTTGAGCACTTATTTATTTGCATAGCCTATTTATTTTCAGTAATTTATTTCTTGAGAAATATATGTAAATCATGTTTTGAAGTTCACCAGAAGACTGTATTTTCACATCAATCCTGCAGTCGGGAATACGTCTTGTGATATAGATGGCAGAGATGAAAATATTTTTTAGAGACTTTAAATAGTTATTAACTTTCTGAAAAACATTAGAACATGATAAAGGAATTTACTAAAGAAATATTTTGTGTAGAATATAAAATTAGCTATTGCAACCACCATTGTGAATTGCAAACTTTTATTCTTTTATTCTGAGACAGGGCCTCCCTATGTAGCCCAGGCTAGCCTGATGCCTACTTCCCAGGTGCTGGAATTTCAGTCTAGCACCACGTCCCCCTGGTACTTGAAGGCTTTTCATGTCTTTTCACTAGTCACTACTATCATTTTGTGATTCAAACCAACAGGATTTCATGACAAAACCTTCAAAGCCCATTACATAAATGCCCAATTTGTGTGTAATTTTCAAACGATAGTGTTCTGAAATTCCTCATGGGTGAAAGTCAACATTCAGATGCTGTACAGGAAAAAATGAAGAGAAGACGGATGATTAATGATAGCAAAGGCTTTAATCCATCGGAAAATTTTGGAGATGTTTCCAATGACATCATCAGGATACCCATCTCCGCAGCCTGGTGCCCATTTACTCCATAAAATTGTCATCGACAAAGTTGAATCCTGCTAAATTGTCTTAAGGTATCAAATTCAAACAAACAGTTTGGAATATTCCCTGGGTTGCATCCTGAAACCCTCCATCTACCTTTCCTCTCTGCAGTCTCTGCCCTGGTCAGGTAGTGGTAGAAATTATCCAGCTTGTCTGGCTGCTCCTCCAGGGGCCTCTGCAGCCAGAAGAGGGACTGTGCCTCTGCAGCATTCCACAGGGCCTCCCAATGCTCCATGAGAGCGAAGAGCTCGGAGAAGGATTTGTGGTAGCCATCACGCAGCATGTCCACGCAGATGCTCTTCTTATAGGAGTTCCTGTGGCTGGGGACACAAACAGAACACTGGGAGTTTCAGCCAAGTCCTCCCCACCCGCCAGGCTTTCCTTTCTCCAAGAATGGGCAGTCCAGGGCCTGGAGAGAGGGTTCAGTGGTTAAAAGTACTGACAGTTCTTGTAGAGGACCTGAGTTTGGTTCCCAGCACCCACATGATGGCTAACAACTGTCCCCAGCTCCAGTTCCAGGGGATCCTCAGCTGCACTCCTCTGGCCTCTGCAGGTACTCACACATGGGGGCACTTACATACTTTCAAGAAAAATACTCAAACGCATAAACTAAAAACAAACAGTTAAAAATTGTTTTAAAGAATTGGAAGTTCAAGCGGGCTTCCTTTTGTTGTTCTCAGTGAAAGCACAAGAACTACCAAAAGATCTTTGTTGCAAATACAGTTGAGCAATTTCAGTTTAAAGAAAGTTGTTCAGAGCTACCTAAATATACATATTTCCATAAAATTGCATTATAAATATATCAGTTCCAGAGTTCAGGACAAATAAGCTACTTGACTGACAATATTAAAAAAATACATCATACACCAGCCTCCCCTTCAAACCAACCACTCACCACCTACCCACCCACTCACCCAATCAACCAACCAGACCAATGACACCCAAACCAGTGAACCAGTCTAAAACTCAACCTTGCTATTTAATATTATAAGTTTATTTTCTACATTATATAGTTTCACTATATATTACTAGAAGTTCGTGAAATTTGTTCATTAATGCTTCTGAACTGAATGTTAAAATATTTGTTGAAATCTATTACTAAATATATGCATAATTATTTTCACCTATAACCAAGGTAATTGTTTGGTAGATTAATAATTCACTTCTTAGGTCAGACTTGGGAGGCTGAGGCAAGAGGATCATTAATTTGAGGTCTGCCTGGGCTAAACAGTATGATTTTGTGCCAAAAGATGAAACCAAATAAAACCTTCAAAAATGTACTCACTTCAAACTTCATCAATCAGGTGTAAACAGATAAAGTAACAGATGACTGTCCCACATATTTATTAAGTAAGTATCTACTGGTTTCACGTGATTTACCATTGGCTGTTTGTTTTTGTAGTTTCTTTCATTTGTGTGTGTGTGTGTGTGTGTGTGTGTGTGTGTGTGTGTGCATGTGGGTATATGTTGGAGGCCCGAAGTTGATGTCCAGAATTATTCTTAATTGCTATTATATCTTATTCATTGGCCAGGGTCTCTTAGTCCAACCAGAGCTCACAGGTACGGCTAGTCTTGCTAGCCAGCTTGTTCTGGGAATCCTCCATCTCTGCCCTCTGAGTCTGAAATTAGAGCCAGGCTTCCACTTGACATTTTTGTGTGTTCTGAAGACCTGAATTCTTGTCCTCTTGTCCGCCTGGTGAGTGCTTTAATCACTGAGCCATGTCCCCAGGCCCTGTTCCATCCCCCATGGACTGTTCTAGACCAAATAGAGTCAGTGCCCTTGTGAAATTTCCATTCAAGAGAGAAAGCACGACCAACAGCTAAGGAGACACATAGTGAACAATACTGAAAATTTCTATTAAGAAATACATACGCTCCTGGAGAATAGCTATGTTGGTCACCGTCTTACCAAAAAAAGGGGGGGATCAGATGCCCAAAGTTTATGCTAATTATTTTATATTCTTTCTTTAAAAGGGAGAGAATTCAATATTTAGAACAACTGGCACCGTGGACTACTACTGGCAATCAAATTTCAGGGAGCAGTGGGTAGTTCTCAGAATTAGAAGTGCTGAGGTATGACTTGAACTCCTTGCATTTCATTTCTTCTTGTGCAAAGGTGTATGTTAATATATGTCCTGCCCACATCTCAGGACTCCTCTTGGAACCAGATGAAACGAATGTATGCAAATCCTATGGGAGATGTGAAGCCTGCATGGCTGGTTTGTGGCTCTTGGCTGTGCATTAGATTTACCAGTAGAGCTTCAAAAACAAAACACAGCACAACTGCCCAAGGTGAGAACATGAGGTTACTAAAGCGGTGGTGACACTTTGGACTCCACACCAAGAAAGATGAAGAGCCAGCTGCCAAGGGGACCGAATCCCGGAGTTGACAGGATGCGACTGCAGTTTTATGATGACTTTTTTGTGGGGTGGGGTGGGGTGGCATGCAAAGTCTTGAGGTGAGTGTTCTACCATCAAGCTCCACTCTTAGCCCCACAGTTGAGTTTCAGAAAAATATATCTGGAAAGATCAGCCCATGTGAACTTGAACTCTAGCCCTTTCCCATCATGCAGCCAGATTGTTACAGAACCAGCTGATAGAGTGAAAAAAAAATCCATTTTCCTATGCCCAAAGATCAAAAGCGACCATGTGATAGCAGACTAAAAAATATTCAGCATGAGGCAGAGAAGAATCATTGGGGTTTGTTTTCTTCCACTGAATCAGATAGAAGAGGACAGGAGGGAGACGTGGACAGTGGGTGCTTTGAAAGGACCAAATTCCCTTTCTCTCTCCATCTTTCCAGTCAAATGCCAGAGGTGCTGTGAATGGAAGTCAAATTCCTGTGATCTCCAGTGGAATCTAAGGGGAGCAGACACTGTACTGACTGCTCACGTGAGATGCCTGAAAGTAAAAGGATGACCAAGATCTCCTTGCCCACCTCCCTGTGTCCAGGGCATGGAGAAACAGCAAACAGTCAAGGGCTTCTAGGAAGAAGAGGGCCAGGGCAAGCCCTGCAATTTCCCGAGACCCTAGAATGGTATGGGCAGAATAACATGATACTCTGTGGCGGGGGGTGGGGGGGATCTGTGTGTAATACTAAAGTTCCTGAAACAAAAGGGTCAATGTGCCCATCACCATATTTTCTAGAGGCAACAAGATGCTGAAAGGCTCTTTATGGGCTGCCCATGGAGACTGAAGGAAGATACAGATACATGAAATGAACAGCACTTATGAGATCTAGAGACCAGGCTAACTTATTTGCCAAGCTGACAGAACAAAGTTTAACCAAGGGCATCAAAGACGGTTACCGCTGCAGGAATGCATAGCCTAGGAATGCATTAAGCTGTAAGTAAGAGCATTTGCCTCCCAGAGTCTTAGAAAGCAAGGCTTCTACTTTTTCGCTAAAGACAGCAGCTGAGGGCCTGGTTCGAGGGCCTGGCAGATTCAAGGCTGACGTCTCTGGGATTATCTTAACCTTTATGCTGTTTGTGCCCTGTTGATTATTATAGGACTTCTACAGCTCCAGATATCATGTTCAACTTCGAGACAAGAAGAAAAAAAATGAACGCAGGTGTCATGGTTGTATATTTCCTTATTTTCAGTGAAAAAAAAAAGCATCCCACAAATAATAGCAGATGTCCATGTTTGTCTACATATGTCTCATTGGTCGGAACTGTGTCACATGCCACCCTCCTGTGCTACAAAGAGTCTAGAAACACAAATGCTGCCTTTACTTGGGCACCTTGCTGCCCCAGCTTAAACTGGACTTACGTTAACAAAGAAGGACCAGACAATGATTTTTTTTTTCTTTTTGGTATTAGAATGTTCTAAATATTGCAACACATGTACTTAGGATGCTAAAAACAAGTTTCTTGTTTTTGGAAACTGAAATTGAACTCTCATTCGTTTGCTCTCAAGTAACTACCCTCTCTTTGCCCCCCCCCCACCAATGCAACACTTTTTCTATACAGGGACGTAGAGTGAGGGAAAGAGGCTTGAATCTTGAGCACCCCGAGAGATTGCTGCAGTGGCCCAGCTTTACCTGAGAATGACAAGATTAGATTTTTACACTAGGGAGAATTGAGGCTCAGGGCCAGGAATTAAAATTAAGTTATAAAAAATAAAGCCTTTCAATTTCGCATCCTTGATTTTGTGACTCTGAACTTCACACCTGATCCAAAAGAAAGGATGGGAGGATGGTAAACATAGAGGCAGGAAGGAGGGACAGAAGACTCTGCTGGTCCTCAATGGGATAAGCAGCTGGAACTGGGGCAGAGGCAGGGGGATCAGTAGAAGCAGATGGCTTCAAAACACATTGGGGTGATCAAAATATGAGTGACTTGGCGACTGGATGCTGTGTGAAGAGAGCAGCTAGGATTGCAGCTGGGTGTTTGGACTGGTAACAGGGAATTGGTAATTTTCTAAAGAGGGAAAATAAATGGTTGAACAGACATTGAAAATGATTAACTTGAACTTGGGGAGCCTAAGGGCATGTGAGTGGGAACCTAGAAGACAGTTTGGGGGAAGTTATAGAAAGCCTCAGAGGACAGAGGCTAGAACTCCAACCTTGCTTCAAATAAGTAATGCCACCTTTGTGTGTTGATGGTGTTTGTTCGTGAGAACAAAGAATGACTCCTGGGGAAAAAGTAAAATGCTGACCAAACACTAGAGAGGACAGATGGGAAATTATCTCAGTTCTAAGACCAAATGGGACATAATGCAGATAGTCACACCCTGGGCCTTCTTTGCTTGCCTTGGAAGAAGATGCAGGCACTTTTGCTGGATGTGGTCCATACAACACTGGAGTCACCTCCATAGGTGTCAGTACTCTGAAGTACCTGTGGAAATAACTAGTCCCATTGAGGGTCAAATCTTGGTGGGTAGAGAATTCAAGGACACCTTAGTAAAAGGATAAGTTACTGATCTAAAGGGGTGGCCCAGTTTTTCTCCTAGCAACACAAGACTGGGGCTCAGTCAGGGGCATCTTGACAAGATTCTCAGCCTGTTCTTGTTATCTGGAGTCTGTCTAAAGGTCCTATGACTTGGCTTTTTCTGCTAAGCTGAGTTCTCCCCTAATTTCCACCTAATTAGTTACCTAATATCCTTTCATTAAGATAATTTCCACTTAATTCAGTTAAGATCAGTTGCTGCTGCCTATGGCCAAAAAAACAAAAACAAAAACAAACAAACAAAAAACTACCACTAAGTGTTTCAGATGGGCTGGACTGAGATTTTTTTTTTCTAAGACAGCATTCAGCTTTAAAACATCCAGGAGATATAGCCAACATCCTTTAAAAAAATGTCTAGTGAATATTTAAAT